GTGTTGATATGAAGACCAAGCTGGTGTTGCCTTCTGATTGACCACAGTTTCTCTTAGTTGTATATTGTTGACTTGACCTCGTTCTCACAATTTGGTCGGAGAATCAGGGAGACCTTGTAGAGCGTATCTAGTTATGCTCCATCTGCCATAGCATTCATGATTTCTAGCATCGGACCATTGACTTGGTACATGGTCAAGTGTTTTGCCGGCATCGTAGTTGGCATCATCAGTGAGAGACGTCAGCGTTAGCACAGAGTTAAAACTTATCAGTGACAAGTAGAGACAATCCTCTTGACCCATTTTCTGTTCAACTGTTGTGGCACCATTCAACTTCTCTAAATCTTATTCCATATCGCCTATTTACCTATTTGTACAATTCTGTGCTCTCGTTTCTTCCAATGTCGCCTAACAGTGTGTGGATTTGAGAAGCGTAATCAACTTCACCACCGTTTTCAGATGCCGTTTGCAGGACTTCTAGGTCATGACCTCCTACTTCTTAAGTGGGAATGTACCAAATCAATGGTCTGAGTTGGAAATCACGAATGCTTTGGCAGGGGAAGTTCTACTTGATATCACCAAGTTGTGAAAACAAGTTCAAGGCAATACTTAACATATTAAATGTCTGCATGATTTTTTCCAGACCGATAAGCGGCAACTCCATCTAGACATTTATGCTTTTTTAAATATCGTAACTGCTTTTAACTATTATTTAATAATCTAAAAAATGCCTTAGATTTTATTATCATTCCTTATATCCCTTACTAATAGTGACATTAACCATTCTCCCAGGTAGGCTATTCTTTAATTCATTTTGTTGCTTTTTACCCCATTCACTCGACTAGCACGTTCATTAAGTTGTCAGGCTGAATTTTCCAGACCGATTAGATTATCTCATCACAGTGGCTGACTTAGTCTGCAAGTTCATTGCAAAACTTGTGGGAGAGCTTTTGCCAGTTGCAAGTATTGCCATGCTGTACAACTTATCTCAATTTAAGACCTGATTTATTTGTCATATATATTAAAATCTTGGGCAACTTTATTACTCATTCTTTGTTCCTTCGAAATGGACACTTTGTAGACGAAAGTAGAAAGAAAGAATCAACATTCACTTGGAACGCAAATTTATCGTTCTACCAAATTTATCGTTCTCAAACTCTCCTAGGCAATTATTAACTAAGTGAACCGTCCTGGAAGACGAATTTGCACGCAACAGATGGCCTATATTCTCAGTATACTAAAATACTGTCCATGTATTTTTAAAGCAACTTTCTAGGTATAAAGAATAAAAACCTTAACTGCGTGAAGTAGAGTAAAGATAGATTATTGCATGGAATAGATACGACACCTAAATTCTCCTTGGCTTGTTTGGTGCTGCGAAGGTCCCCGGTGTGGGGATCGTCGAGCTGAGATTGACTAAAATTTGGAATCGGCAGTCGAAGCAAAGGCTGAGGCGGTGGCCCATAGTCAAGAAAGGGACTTAAGCAACTGGTGCCACGACGCAAGCTATTTGTGTTGCCAGTAGACAGACGAGAAGAGAAGTTAGGCCGTGTAGAAGGAAAGAAGCTCCCTATCGCGGTGGAAGCGGCTGATGAACCGATGCGCAGGGAGCCACCACCTGCTCCTCCACCAGCATAGCGCAGCCGAGGTCCTAGTGGTAAGTGCTCTGTGGGTGGTGTAATGCTGGTCGTCGTAGCAGCTGAGCTGGAGAGGTTGTTTTGGTCGTGAACTTGGGGATGTATCAATATCGGCGTTTCAGATGATCCGAAGGTGCTTAGGCGTGAGGCGCTGAGGAGAGGAGATGTGTGAATATCGGCGAAATTGCGATAGCCTTGAGTCTAAGTGCATAAAAAGTGGAAAAGATAACAACTTACGTTTTTTTCTAGCTGTAAAAAAGGATAGGTATTTGTATTCAATTTAAGAATGAACTAATTAAGACATTCGAATTCGTTAATCGCTCACTAGAGCGAATCGGATGCATACATTTCATGCGCATTAAATACTAAGAATCCGCTCTTAGATATGATTCGCTAAGAGATTATTCGAAAACTAGCTTCATATATATAACCCACAACGACACTTGGCTAAGAATTCATTATGCCGATAATGTGCTCACTATTTAATATTCGGTGTCTAGGTGGTTAATTAAGATGAGTTTAAAGAATTTTCAGCATCTCTGTCAACAATTGGCCAATTTGGACTTTAAAAGCTTGTTGCTTAATACTGGAGTGGAATCTAAAGGCTCGTTTACCTTTATATAAAAGCTAATTGAAAGCATATTTCCACCTATATATTGAATGAAGTCTAAAAGATGGCAATTGATCTTGTGAACTGATACTGTTATCTTCTCCTCGTGAGATTTATCATTAGGCTTAAAAAAAAAGTTGGGGATCAATTAGAACGAAATATAAGCCCTAATCCATTCATAGAAAAACTACCATAAAAGATGTATACTCAGCTTTAATAATATCTTTGCTCGACAACACAGTAGTGTATGCACTTGCCTTAACGGATTTTAATCGATAACTGGAAAACCTATTTCTTCACGAATTTGGTTGCGAGCTGGAAAAACAGTAGGACTTTGGATGTCATGAGAGAATGCACAGTCAAAATCTGGCTATGCCTACGGGACAAAAATGTGAGAAATAACTCAGAATCATTGATGATAAATACTCAATGTATCAAAAAGAAAAAGAGTTGATTACAACTCTTAGAACTCCACAGCATAGCTCACCTTTTCCTTCTTGTGACTTAGTCTTCGCCTGCCCCACCAGCCCTTCTCTCCAGTGTGTCTACCACCACAGCAGATAACAAACGA